GTGAGTGTTCAGTTGTCTCATTCTCTTCTTACACAGCCTTCTCCTCTGCTAAGATGGCATGCATTTCTGGGAAATTCATATGAGCTGAATGGTGATAACCTGTTATTAAGGGACTTACTGCATCATGATACTGGCACTGGGACTTTCAGATTTTTTTGTCCATGTCCACAGCAGTGAACAACATGCATGAGGTACCATTCTCTGGTCCTAAACCCTACTTGCTTAGTGAGGTTGGCACAAACCTTCCCCCCCTTGCCCCATCCCATGCTCTGCCAGGCTGCACGCTCGCAGCTCAGCAGCACAGGCAAACTCTGGTGTAGTCCCTAAGTCTGGCAGACCAAACAAACCAAGCTCATCAGCGGAGCTGCAACCACCAAGTGAAGAGCAGCTGCAACTACTGTGAGACAGGAATTCTGAAACTTGACTCTTCTCAAAGGTGAGAAGCGTCACTGGGTTAACACATCGTGACCAAAGAGATTGCCATTCTAGTGCCTATACTGTTAGTGATTTACGCCGCTTTTTCCCAGATGAGGAAAAATTCCAGAGACAGCTGGTTTGGTTTCAATGCTATTTTTGTGTAATAAAAGCACTGCAGAGACTGCTGAGGTTGTCTCCCTTCTCAACCTCAGTTTTTGAGCTTGCACATCCAATTTTGGACCAGGGCAATCAGAGAAAACGTAACAACCTGGCAAATGTTGAACCGCGAAGCAAAGCAATTTCTGGTCAAATATAGAAGATACATGAAGTGTCCGCTGAAAGATGAGATCACTTTTCTGTTCAACAGGGGTAGAGACAGAAGCATTACTGAAGGAAGATTTCATCTTTTCCCCCAATTAGCTATGAACTCTTGAGGTTCACTTTCCTCTAACAGCTCTCAGAGCCTAGCACTGCCTCATTCATTTCAGCAATCTCAACCACCAGTGCAACATCCTGCCCATGCTCCTGCTCAGGGCTGTCACTGGGAATATTGAAATGCAGTCAAGATTTTATCCCATTCAACACCCTTCCACACAGTCCAACACAGATAAATACGTTCCAGTGGATCCAATTAATCTCCTAAGGGTTGCTTGGCCTTGCTAACAGTGTCCTTCTTGCCTTTTGCTGTATTCTTTGGAACTGAAACACACAAATTCAGTGGCTTATCTCTCAGCTTGTTTCCTATCTCAGTAGCCAGTTCCAGCTGCGTCTGCAACCAGCCATGTGCTTTCAAATGAGTAGCAACTGCTCCTGAGCGCAGCAAGAAATGTAATGAAATTCTTGGTCCAAGCTCAAGCAGACTGGGAGAGGAGAGAAACCTCTTCCCAAGCTGGGCACAGGCAAGTTCCTGCAAGTGCTTATTGAGAACACACTGTTCAAATCCACCAAACCGGAGTAAACACATAGGTGCATAATTACCATTAATGCTCACTCTGTCAACTCCAGTGACTGAATCCACCACAGAACCTAACCTAGGACCCAAACAGTAGTATTCATGGTAGTACTTTTCATCATTTCAGCTGCCTTTTTAATTTACTAATCTAAGCAGCTATTACAATGATAAACTGAGCTGTTTTACCAGCAAAACTCCTGGATTTTTAACATCTATTTGTTTTGGTAGATTTAAAATACTACTAAAGTAAATTTTCTACCCAAAAAAATATGCTTTTTTGCAACTTGATAAGCATCCAACAAGAGCACATACCAGGTATAGCAAGCAATTCTAAAAGCCACCTCCTGAGCAACTACTGGGAAAGAACTTGTGAACCACATCTATGTGAGCAACATCAACATTTAGTCTAAACTACCAACACACTGTATCTTAATGCCTATCTTCACCAACAGAGCAACCCACCAAGGCAACAAAATGGTATTTAATGAGAATTCCCTTAAAGGGTTTGGGATGGCTGAAGGGATGGGTGGGGTGGACAGCTCTAATGTGGTGGGATTAGGCCTTGACAGCGAATGACACAGCAAAGTTTGCATCCACCTGGACAAACTCTCTCCCCCCAGAAAAGTGGTGTCATCCTTGCTGCCTATGGAAACAGGCTCTGGCCCATCCATGAGGGCATGTTCCTTGAAAACAGTGCCTGCGAGATTGCACAAGCCAAAGCCAAGAAAGAGGGTGTTGTAACAACTAAGGTGTGCAAGATCATGGGCTCATGTTTGTACCCTTGTTTGCTTCATTCACTACCTTGTATGTGTCACAGAGCCTTCAAGGAGAAGGTTCCATCATCTGAGCAATGCTCACTGGGGCAGTCCAGAAGCAAACACTTAGAGAAAAAGTTTCTACTCCTTTTTCTCCCAGAAATAAGTATGTATTTTTTCCTCTTTCAATTTGACTGCCAGCTGGATGAGCTATCTCAGACTAGCACCACCCTTCCACCTGACAAATACACTATATCCATCATTCTAGGTGATGAAAGGTGGTAAGGAAGAAAGAAGGAATACATAGAATAACCACAGTAAATGGAAGAAATTTAGAAAGACAATTTTTCTTGTTTCTTTTTGTTTTTCTTAATATTTCATTCCCTTGGACCAATGAAATTAATTACCTTTATGGCCTAATTTAGGTAAAGAACTGACCCACAGTTTTGTATATACTAATCAAAACTGAGTTAGATAACAAATAACACCCTGAAATGTGACTATTCATTAAACAAGTCAAGGAAACTCATAAGGAAAAGCACTAAAGGAAGCCAGTGAGAAATTAACACAAACTTAAAGAAAGATGTTTAAGGCCAGTTTAACTAAAATAGTAATTGATAGAGGACAGGAGAATATGAATTCAAACTTGGATGACACAAACATGATGGTACAGAAAAGGTCTCATCAGATTGAAATGGAGTTTGGCATAGCAATTGAGTATGGGAACTTCTCTAAAAAGCATATAGGTGAGAGTTATAAAACATTGCACAGTAGAGCAATGGAATTTGCTCATCCCTTATAAAAATGTTAGTAAACATTTATAATTGCTACACAGATTTTATGAACAAACTTCAGGACCATTTAGCAAGTTTTAGATACCTGGGAAGGAAAAGGACTTGTATGAAAAAGAGAACTGGTGTGGTTATATTTAAAATGACATTAGCACAATGTACAAGGATTCTTACCTTTTTACTTAAACGAAATAGCATTTTGATGAACTGAGATTAGAGCAATGCTATTTTTTTAAAGAAATTATTAAAAGTTTTTCTAAAGTTTTATGTAACATTCCAAATCTGAAAAGCAAAAAAATTGTAAAAATAAAAATGGTTTTGGTGTTATAATGCTAAGACAGGGTCTATGCTGAATCTGATGTAAATCTTGACCCAATTTATAGTTTTACTTTTGACACAGCATGAAATTCACATTGCAAAATCTGTTCCAATTATATTTGGCAAGATTGTTGATGAAAATCTGAGGAAACTGAAGCAAAAACCTTAAAAAAGAAATGTGAGTACAGGAGTGCTCTGGTGACAGTTACATACACTAGAAATGTTTGAAATAGCTACAGGGTCCTATGAAGAACAAAAGCCCTGTGTCACACATAGCCTTAATCCACTGTGGCTACACCACAGTCTTATATATGGCTGTAATCTGGTGTAAATGGCTACACATAGACAAATGTCAGCTGAGAACAGACAGCTGCATATTTCACTTGTCCCTAAAACAGAAGATGACCTTGGAGGAATGGCAGGTTGGTGAATACTCACTTGTGTCTCACATAAGAATTGAGCTTGAACGGGATTCCTGTCTAGAAGCACCAACTGATTTCTGAATTTATGTCCCTTGTCTTTCACGTAACCATAGTTGTGTGTGACACAATCAGGCTGAGTTTAGCTGAACAAGACCCCCAAAACCGAAAAACAACAACAAAAAAAGAGGTCTACTTGCTAAAGTTTAGATGCTGTTTGTGCATGTTTCAGAAGGAGAAGCTGTGTTTAGGCTGGGCGAGCTAAGAAGTAGCTGTGTTTATAGCACATTAATTCTTTGCTTTGTTTTTCTGCGAGCTGGATTTTAAAATCCAGAGATAAGACTGAAAACACAAAAAATGTGAACTGATCACAGAAAATCAATTAACTAAATAGGCAGGTCATGATTTGAGTCTAAAATCTCATTTAAAACTTTTTCATCGTAGTTTAAAAGGTCTTACTGAAGTAAGAAAAGTCAATATGTGGGTCCTATGAGTAGATTAGTGGGAGTATTTCTTTCTTAAGAGATTAGCCTGAGGCCATTCATATGAGGCTCTGTGGGAAAAGATGAGGCCATAAGTAACCTCAATATTCGACATCTGTTTCCTGTACAATTGCCAAAACCATTACCAGCATCATAAATGAACTCTGACATCAAACCTGCCCTTTTTGTGAATGAAAACAGAAAGTCATCTGCTGTTCAACTTCTGGCTGCTTGGAAACATAGAAAGCAAGAATCCAACTGATTTCCAAATGTTGAACAACTCTGCATTTGAAGGAACTTTGTGCACAGAAACGTTGTAGGGCTCCTTAGAGGTTTTTTCCAAGGTAGTATGGTCTTACTGGATCTCACATATCAAAACAGGATCTTACTGAAAAGAGACCCTAAAGGAACATCTGCTACCTGAATGCATGCTGCAAAGGAGATGCGATATTCACAGTCAGAAAAAGTGGGAAAGCATTTATTTTGCGATGGTTTGTGATGCAGCGAGTAGCAGTAGCTGAACAACAAGACAAATAAACAGGTAGATTTCAAAATACCAGAGTGACTTGAATATGTTTCAAAAATATTGCACTGTTTTGCTAAAAGGAAGTTGTTTCCCATTTTCTGTTACATGATCTTTGACATGACAGTATAAACTGTCATTTGGTTTGGTCATGGCAGAGAAGTTGCATTGTTCTAGAAAGCCCCAATGGGACAGAGAAAAGGTAAAAAAGAAGTAAAAACCCCCACAATTCTAGAAGCAGATAGAGTGGCCTAAACACCCTTGTGTGTCATGTGCTTGGTTAGATGTTACTGTCTTCTACATATAAGAGTAATAACATGAAGACACAGAAAATCAGACTAACCTTAACTGTGGCCCCCGGGAAAAAAAGCCAGTTGCCAGTATCCACAGGATCAAGATTATCTTCTAACACAACTTTTCTGTGAGCAGCATTTATGATCAGGATGTTGTCCAATGACCAACAGGCTTCATACACATCACCAGCATGAACATAATCCTGTTTCCACTGAAAATGGATGTTCTCCCCCTTAGCATCTTCAGGAAGGTACAAGATGTGGATGATCGTGCTGACATTGGAAGGGGCACTGAAAAACAATGTTATGGAATTAGACCAAGTTTAAGCCATAGCCAGGAACACTTGTCCCTCATTTAACACATTTACTACGTGTGACACAGTTGTGCTGCTGTCCCTTGTATGCTGATAAGTCTTACAAAGATCAGAAAATATCTGCCCTGAGGCAGAGTCCTACTGTGCCAGGCAGTGCACTTACAGCCCAAACAGACAGCCTTGCTTCAAAGAAAGTGCAAGCTAAGGCAGTAAGTAGCAGATCAATGCAGACGTTTGGAGAGCAGGAAGAAAGAGCAGGGTGAAATTCATACTCAATGCTGGTCACAGCTCTTAGGTGACTGGGCAATGTCAGGTATTTTGCAGGTATGGACAAAAGGAAATGTTAAGGAAACACTTCACAAGAACAGGTCACCCAAAACATGATTTTTGCATGAGCCTCAGTCCCTCATAGATCTGCATGGAGCAGGGTGGCTGGAGGGAAACCTGGGAATTTGTCAAACATGTCCTTCCAATCTCACATCCTGGCTGTCAGGATAATTCTGTGGATGGGAGAGGGTCACGTTGCCTTTCTTTCCATGTTCTGCTTCAAGAACAATACAGAAGAAACAGCCCATTTGTCCTCTTGCTGCTGAAAATGGAAAATGTGGGGAGGAGAGGCAGACCTGGACTATTAGTATTAGGCAATGACCAGGGCCTTGAGCTCTGCTTCCCAGAGCTGTCCTCAGAGCTGTGAAAGGACTGAGGTTCACCCTGAGCTCTGGGTGAATGTCTTTAGGTTGCTAGTAGCAATGAAAAGACAGGTCTGTGGCAAGGAAGAGATGCTGATAATCATTATTTTTGCTTTATTAATCACTCAGCAAGAGAACCAACTACATTCAAACCCCAGGCTGCAGGGAGTTACAAAACTGTGGTTTTACAAGATGTCAGCTACTCAACCTTACCTCTGCCTTGGTAGTGATGCTTTAGTGGGTTAGTATTATGTCAGAGATAATCCAGAGCTTTAGGAAAAAAGGCACCCATATCTTGCTTATATAGCAGAAAATAGAGGAATTTCTCTTTGTAAAGCAAAACACTGGAGTGTAGTCAAATGCTGAAAAGCCACCGTATTTGTTGCACATACACACCCAGAATCTGCCGCCACAAATCACCCTGCACTTGCTGAAAACTATGTCTGTCACCCTCCACTACAAAGTTGCTCATAGACATTGTCCTAGCTGCTCCCTGAGCCCACACACAGCACCTGCCTTCCCTGAGAGATCCTTCCCCTCCCTGCCAGGAGTCCAGAGCTGAAATCCCACCAACACAGCACACACTAACACATCGGCACAACACCTTCCCTTCACAGATGCCCTCCTGTCCCACCTCCCCCCAGTTCTCCCACCGTTCCCTGGAGCTGCGTGTAGCGCAGTGAAAGCTGCTGAAGCACATTCACATAAACACTGTAATTCATACAGATGACAGGAGAAATGAGCATCCTTTCATAATTCATCCTCTCCACTTTGCACGACATTGCTCTATTGACCTATTTTCTGTTGCTGGCTCCAGCAGTCAAAGTTAAAGCAACACAGATAGAACTGTGTAGGTATTAACTTAAAAAAAATTAGGTTTCAAGGGCTTGTGTTTGCACCATCACAACTCTTGAGTTTCTTGGCTTGCAGAGCTATGAGGGCAACTGAACCGATGTTGTGGATGAGGTGTGTAATTTTGCATCAAAGTGAGAAAAGTAAAAGGTACTGTGTCATTACTCCAAGGCAACTCCAGTGGCTAAGTGAAGTTACTCTTGCTTTGTATTTTTCTGAGATAAGAATTAGCACCAGTTGTTTTACTAAAATTTGTTGATAATTTGTGCCTTTGTTGATGAAATTGTAATCCCACTCCCACAGCCTTGCAGATGGAGTTTTGCTTACTTATCAGAAATCAAGTAGCTTTTTGCTCTGAATTGTCTCAGTGGACTGAAAATAAATTCAAACAAATCACCTGTGTGGCACAGACACTAAGGCAACGCAGAAAGGTGGACTGAGATGCTCTGACGACAGTACATATAAACAGCATATTTTTCTTCCCCAGTTGTACTTGTAAAACTATGTATATATGCCAATGCAAAAAATACCTTTCCTAATAGTATTTCACAAAATGTTGGTTCTGTTCTCTTAGAAAAATCCATCTCCAGCACTGAACCTCTCTTTAAAGGTGTGCATATTGCAATAAAAGATTTTAAAATTCCCATTCATGATCCTTCGCGCTTTCATGTAAAACAGTTTGTTTAAAAAACAGGCATAATCCACCATAATCTTATTACTGTAAGTATTAGGAGCCAAGTGTTCATAGCAAACTATAAGCAAACTTTATTGAATGTTTTTTGCTATCAAAGTAGAAACTTTTAACACTATAAATTATGGTTCTGGCTGACATTAAAGCGGTGCTAAACTGCAAAAAATATCGAAGTTTTGTTTTTCAGGGACCAGAACCTCCTGGTTATTGGAGTTGCATTTTAACTCTTCCTTACCTCCCACGTAATCAATGGATGAAATTTTGATTCACCAAAGCCAGTGGCAATTCCACAATTAGCTTTAGTGATCAAAATTTCATCCCTAATTTTTTGACGTGTATGAACAAGTGAGAGCTGAAAAGTTAACAATTAAGTTTTAAAAGAACTAGGTTTAAACACCACCTGCTCAGCCAGAAAGCATGAAAATGATTAAAAAGCTGTAACAAACCTAATTTTCTCCAGCTGAGTCCAATCTGCAGAACTGTTCCTACTGTAGGACACGGTGATGTTGGGATCTGAGTAACTAAAGCGACATGAGCCAGATCCTGGGAAAAGCAATAAAATAAGAAGTGTTACGACACAATGAAGCAATAAATGATCCTCCAATAATGACAGTTGCTACTTTGCCTTTGTCACATCATCACTTCTCCCGCTTTTAAAGCACTTTGATTGATGATGAAATTTCCTGAAATCTGTTGCTGAAGGTAAACACAAAATAATGCATGCTTTATGAGTCAGAAATAAAGTAGAAATGATAAATCACAGCAGTGCCATGTAATCTCTGCAAATTTCCCAGGGGAAGCCAAGTAAATTACTTAACACCCCCCACTGCAAGAAAAACCACCATATAATGTTTAAACAAAACCTTCTTATTAAAGAATAATCCACACAGCAGAATTCATATGGAAAACAGTAAAAGGCTGTTTTTCATATTACTATATAGAAAAAAAAATCTAGAACTAAAAATACAGTAAATGATAGGAAAATCTATACAGAATTACTTGAGCCAAGAACATATGTGCTTTAGGAATTTAAAAGAATAAAGACATCACAAATTTTTTTTTTTTAAGAATGCCTGAAGAGAATTAAATTAAGAAATCATCCAGTATACTCACTGGAGCCTATAATTAATAATAAACATTTGATGCTGATCTGGGAATCTCAGAACACTTTACAAAACTGAACTAATTAAGCCTTATGGCACCCCTGCAAGGTAGGGTAATATATTTACTTTTGATTTATAAAAGGGTGCCTTCTGGGTGTTGTCACAAAAGATGAGCTTAACAATTAATGTAGGGGACAGTCAAAATAACAAAAACTGGTACTGAAAAACTCAACCTAGAAAACATGATAAACAACCTGAGTGGTAATTAAATACACTAAAAATACTATTTTTTCCTCAGACACCAGGTAATTTATCCATCTCAGAAAATTCAACACCCAGTGAAACAGACAAATCCTAATCTGTGCTCCCAACATCAAATTTCTACTTCATAAGCATGTTGAAAAGTGAGATTCAAAGCAGCAATCAACTACCTTCCATATTTAAGAAAAGCAGCTCTCAATTAAACAGCACTTCTGGTGGCATCAGGATACTATTGAGAGTACCACAGCTTTTTCACAGTAGGAGTATGTATTAGGTGTGCTACATGTAGTACGTTGTATTTATGTGTGCTTCAGAAATGTTCGGTTACACTAAAAGTTGTGTGTACACATATTTTTACATATATATAAATGTATACATATACCCAGATGTGGAAATTGCTGATGATAAAATACTATCATTTTCCAACTCGGGGTACTTGTTTTTGTAATTAAATAAATGGCCTGATTAAAAAGGTGTTAACCACTTGTACAAGAGAACAGCTTACACATTTTAATGGGAACATATGTCATTAAGCACACTGCTTGCAGCCCCAGTTCCCTCGAGGCAGTCACATTCACAGCTCTCAGCTCTACAGAACTGGTTTTCTAGACACACGTCACATACCTCTGCAGGGGAAGAATAACCCAAAACACGTGATGAAATCCTATCACTATAATTTTTCCTGATCCATCAGCTAGGATTCTGGAAATGACCCACAAAGTTGCTTTCTTGTATCTTTTACTAATGTTAAATTGTAAATAGAGGAACAGATACTTCAGAGCCACTACAGCTGCGTGTGGTACGTTCAGCTGGTCTGACACGTATTCTTGCTGAAACGAGGCACAGAATAATTAATATTGCAAAGGCAGCAGGTCTTTGAATTACCAGCCATGTACCCGAAATGAGTAAAAAGCAACTGTCTGGTTATATTTTACTGACAAGGCATTTTATTTCTATCATATTAAAACCAAACGATGTCAGGAAAAGCCTTTGCGTTTCATATTTGCCCATCTGCTAAGATGGTCTACTTTACTGAGTGACATCTGCTGTCGGTTCCTAGTTCTGTGGCATTTAGGAGTTCCAACCCTTAATCACACTCATTCATTTTATTTCAGGGGAATTCAGTTAAAAAATCAGGGAACTTCAGCCAGTTTAACTATTTTTGCTGGCCAGAGGCTATGAGGCAAAACGGCAACATACTGAGTTCGCTGTTCAACAGAAATTAAAGGAATAAACAGTAAAAATAACCAGCAATACAGACTTTACAACGTGTGCCATTTCAGTCAGTGTTACAATCAACTTTTGGTATAGTGCTCTTAAACAAAGCCATATCCAAACATGCTGCTAAAAAGGGGGAGAAGGCCATATTTGCTGCCAATACTGCAAAGATGATAGGAAACGAGTGATCCCTGTCAATACAATCAATATGAAAAATCCTGTCTGTTAAATTTGAACAACCTCAAACTATGTAATGAAGATCAAAGTCATTGCTGAAAAGAAATGTGGCCACTGAAAAAGGGCTTTGCAAAGTAGATGTCATATTTTAGTCGTCTTTTTGAAAAGAGAGCAATGGAGACAATGAAAAAAGGGGAGATAAGTGCAGCGTTTTCGTATTATTTTAATAAGCAGGGCAGGTTGTATTAAGATTAAAATTAGTTTGGGAAAGTCCTCAAGGTCAATGTAAGTAGCTTTTACTGGCTGTGATGACAAATGTGGTTTTATCAGCATTTAAACTCTCTTTGTATATGTTCTTGACTCACAATCATAAACCAGCAAGATTATTTTTCATGTAAGTATCTAATTCGACAATAAAAAAAGAGAATAAGATCAAGAGATTTGGAAAAATTATCAACAAAGTTCAGGCATTGTTCTTTGCCATTTGAACGATATATTTTAAATAGACAAGAAGCTCCTGGATTTGGTGCTTACACCTGTTACAAAACCAATATTCATCCTAGCTTACATTACGAGTTTTTTCCTGAGAAAAGGGAGGAAAGTGAACATACAACTGCAATCTAGGACAGGGTTTACCAAGACAGTCTTGCAAGCCACTGGCTTTCAATATAATTGTCTATATCAGTATTACTTAATACTATTCCTATTACTCCATATTGCTGTTATTTCAGTAATCTTAAACTAAGATTATTTAAATTAGAAGTCTGCAGTTTGGATGTTTGTCTCTACCTTGACCAGAAAAGCTACGCTCTGACTTTGTGAACAAATAGATAATCAAAATTCAAGTAGTAACCTAGCAGGAACTGAGGGCAAATCCAGCTGGGGAAGGGAGGTGTCCTTCACACTGCTTCCAGAGATGGTAATAAACAGTTTGTCAGCTCGGAGCAGAGCAGCAGGGGCAGGATGTCACGCTGTAAATCTTCACACCCTCCCATCCTCCAAAGAAAAACTTGTACATAAAACCTTTTGAATGAGATTAGAACCATCTTATTTTCCCAGGTTTTGAATTAGCCATGAAAATAGGAAATAAAACATGCCAATGATTACCATAAAGAAGTCTACGTAAGTTGCTGCATTAGAGAAAAATATTTCTTTCTTAAGCCAAGTATGTCACAGCAAACCTGATGCCTCAGTGAGGTGCTAGTTAGATTTGACTAAGAGTTAAGATTATACTTTCAACATTACAGTTTTCAATGTGTAATTATCTATTTGAGGAGGGGGGGAAACCAAACCAGCCCCTGATCAAGAATAGCCAAATTTTTTCATTACATATGTATAGGGAAGCTTCTACTTGGGTTTCAGGAAAAAAGCATTTTTCTCCTTCAGAGTTATTTTCCTCCTTTTGATAGGCTTATAGCTGAAGTTCACAGACTTCTAAAACTTGGAAAAAAACTAAGGTAGAGACAACCTTCATGGATTTAATTTTAAATGATACATTTGAAGCTCAGACAGCAATTTTGCCTGTTATCAAAAACAATGAGCAGCTTCTGTTATAAACCCCAGCTATTTTCATATACTGGATATTCTGAAACACTAATTTATTTGACTTGTGATTCATGTGCTTGGATTTTGCTCCAAGCCAATTTTCAATAAAATAAAATTTGCTTAAAGTTGAATCCAGACACTGATGTTAATAGGGGAGGGTTCTGGTTGGCAAAGCATGGGAATGCTAAACAGCTCCTGACTGCTGCTTTAATTCTACCTAAGATAAACAGGAAAGAATAAAAAAGGGAAACAAAAGTATGCTTCTTAATTGCATTTGCTGCTTGTTTCAGAGGATTGGTTACCCATACCCAGGACATGACTAGCACAGACCACCTGCAACATGTCCACCTGAGATGGTCATGACTTTTTTGCCTTTTTTTTCTGTAAGTCTTGTTAAGCTGATTTTGGTTCCCTTCAATGCCATCAAAACTACTAGTCAATATCTTACATACTTTACTTTTTAAAATATCGTGTACATACAAGTACTAAGAGCATAGTATTTTAGGAGAGATATTATGAAGGCACTTCATAGCAGGTATTTGTATCCAGGTATTCAGTTATTAGTATCTAGGCTGACGATGGCAGGAAAAATTAATTCTCACTATGACTTTGCCTCCAACTGTGTCAGATTTACAGAAACCCGAGTCATAGGGCTGTTGGTCTCTAGGATTTCTTAACAACGTTGGTTAGAAGCTGGTGTTTTGCTGAGATAAAACTGGGTGCCATCTGCAAGGGAAGCAATATTTTGCTCTTTATAGATTGTGACGTCCTCTGCCTCTTAACAACCTCTTGATAGTTCCTGTGGGTGCTTCCGTGGATAAGCAGATATCTAATGCTGGTTTTGAGAAGAATGAGTCTAACATGGGACTGTACAAGAAAAATTCACACAAGAAATTTGTAGAGGTTTGAATTGTGTCTTGACTGTGGCCTGAAGAACAAAATGAAGCTGAAAAAAATCCCCTTTAGCTAATGCTAGAGGATTGCTTTTATTCATTTTGTTAATGTGATGAATAATGATTAGTGTTTGCTAAGGATTACGATTTGCTGGTATCGCTTGAATTAAGCCAAACTGGATAGTATAAATTACTAGTGGTCAAATTTGGCTGGCTTGCAAATAGTTTTTTCCAAATTAATGAACCATACAGTTTGGTATAATGAATGCTCTGTGGATCCTGATTTATTTTAGGTGTATGTTTATATTGGCTTCTGATCAAGAACCAGATGATTTTAACCATGTTACCATGTTAAAAGATTGAACCTTCTATGCTGGATATACCAGAAACACTGGTACAAAAATGTGCAACTCACTGTTCATCCCATTCTGCCTCTGACAACTTCCTCAAGAGATGGTTGCAAGAGCATTTTAATTTTTCACTGAAGCCACAACTCTGAATTTAGTTACAAGTGTGATTTGTAATTATGACACATTTTAGATCTTTAGACTGTTTTTAAAAAGTTTTAGAACAGGTTCAGAGTACAAATAAATATTTGCATAAGAAATTTTAAATTAAAAACTTTAAGAACTGTACTCTAGTTTATAACTGTTGTCTACCTTTACATGGGAAGAATTAAATATCTTTATTGCTGGATGCTTTCTTCCTCCCTTGTGAGAAGAGCATTTTGACTATCTGCACCCCTGTATGAGTTCTGATAAACAACCCGAAACAAATACCTGACTCTAGAAAATGAAAATGTCAAAGGTGTTTGCCTTTGGTAAAAATCAGACCTACTCTAATATTAGTAATAATCATGGCTTTTGAAATTCAAAGGCTCAACTACTTATTTTCTGGAGGTTCAGAGATCAGCTAACTTCTGTTCAACTGTCAGCTTTAGGCTGTTACTCATTTTTGGAAATGCTGGGTTGTTACATCTAAATAAAAATAAGGGATTGACAAGCTAAAAGCTTCTACTGTGAAACTGTAAAAGATGAGAAGAATAATTAGTAAATATATTTGATAAAAATTAATCAGAAAGGCTTCAGAAATGAAGTTCTAAAAATTAATCAGAGGTTGAACCCCAACTGGACAGGGCCCTGAGCGAGCTGTCCTCACTCATGTGGTCCTTGTTGGAGCATGGGGGGTGCACTGGAGCAGGTGACCTCCCAATGTACCTTCCCACCCACCTCCTTCCAGGATTCCCAATAACAGCAAATGCACTTTTTATGAATTATTGCAGCTAATTTCCTTTAGGTGAGAGGTAATGTCTGAGGAAATACTTATCTGGCTCGACTTCCTCTTGGTCTATTTATATTCAGCGATATGATGGGCTTCCTGTGCTCACACGAATCTGTTCTCTTCTAATGAACAAGATCAGATCACAACTCATATTGCTTTTTGTGTTGAGAACATTAAGGAGAGGAACTAAGTCAGGAAGAAAGCTGTGTTTCCCTTATGCCAGTTTCCAATTTATTCTGATATAAAGATGCTCAGTTATTTATAGCATCTCTTTCTGAAATACAGCCAGCAGGTATGTGCTTGGGTAATGTGTCTGTTGCCAAATAAATAATTGCATGATGCTTCTAAATTTAACCACATTCTTAAGTGCACTAACATCAGACAAAGGCCGTTGCTGAAAGTAAAGTGAGCAAACTTGTTAAGAGATGGATGTAATGGATACCCAGGAATTGCAGCTACTGAAACAGTAATATCACTAACACCCCATAAATGCTCTCACGGTGGTTTTTGACCAACTGACCAAGTAGTAAGTCCTGTACTCGATAAGCATTTTCTACTGGCATTCTTGTATTGTATGCTTCAACATTACTGCCATTACATGCTTAATGTAGGACTATGTGGAGATCCTCTAAGTGAGAGAGTGGCCTTCCAGTGAAGCTGGGCAAAATTTAAATTATACCATCTTAAAGCAGTTCAGTAGTACACTAATATGTATCTATTTGTCTAGCTCCGTCCATTTAGCAACCTGGGTCAGCTTCAAAGGTCAATAATGAAGATA